TTTATTTATATTGATTTGAGAGAGAGAGAGAGAGAGAGAGAGGAAGGGAGAGAAAGAGAGAAACATTGATTTGTTGTTCCACTTATTCATGCATTCACTGGTTGATACTTGTACGTGCCCTGACAGGAGATCAAATCCACAACGTTGGCTTATCGGGGTGACACTCTAACCAACTGAGCTGCCCTGCCAGGGCCATGATTGCATTTTCAAAGAGTGATATTTTCAGGAGTATATTGTGGTTTGAAACCTATAGCTTCCATGTACTGACATAGTGTGTAGATGTTATTTGGGGAAAATGTAGAGATAATTCAATTTATGCTGCTGCCCTACAAAGAAAATTACATGATGAATCTAAATTGTCTTTCGAGTTAAGAAGCACATGCAGACTCCTACAACTTAGCACTTAGAGTAAATTTTCATACTAAAGGGTTTATGGGTTTTTTTCAATAATCTAAAGAAATTTATTTTTTATCCTGAGGAAAAACTTGTTTCTGCTTTACTTGAATGGTAAAGATCCTTTGTATTATACGTTATTCTGCCAGTTGCCAAAAATTCTGTGACATCCATAATTAAGCTCTTAGGAGCAGTTCCTAAGAGTAGGCCTAGTTTACAACTCAGAAATAGTAATAATATTTAGAGTTTACTTTCTTTTTTTTAATCCTCGCCTGAGGATATGCTTCAATAGATTTTAGAGAGAGCGGAGAGAGGAGTGGGAGAGCGATAAATATCCATTGGCTGCCTCCCATAGGTGCCCAACCAGGGACCAAACCCTTAGTCTAGATGTGTGCCCTGACCAGGAATCGAACCTGCAACCTTTCAGTGTATGGGACAACGCTTCAACCAGCTACGCCACCCAGCCAGGGCACGTTTACTTTCTTTTTAAATTAGTTTGTGAACTCTTTTTTTCCTTGGATTTAGAAGAAATAACTAAGGAAAAATTTGATAATCTTTCTCTTAATCTATAACCTTACACAGGAAGAATTCGAGATTAATACTTTTTAATTTTGTTATGTTTTGTTTTTTATTACACCAGTGTGGGAAAAATATCTTCATAATATTCTACCAGTTTTATTCAATGCTCTCTAAGGTGATACTTTTTAAATGTGAAGGGCTAATTTAATCAAGAATTTGAAACCTTCGCCCTGGATAGAGCGTCAACCTGTGGACTAAAGGGTCCCAGGTTTGATTCCAGTCAGGGGCACATGCCTAGGTTGTGGGCTCAATCCCCAGTGGGGGGTGTGCAGGAGGTAGCCAATCAATTATTCGCTCTCATCATTGATGTTTCTATCTCTCCCTCTCCCTTCCTCTCTGAAATCAGTAACAATATTTTTTTTTAAGAATTTGTAATTTCCCAGTCTGATTTGTTTTATTCACTAGTTCATTAGTTCAGTGAAAATTTTGCTTGGTGAAATCATGATATAAGGATCTTAAAATTTTAATTTAATGTTTTTTTGGTGTGTGTAATTTTCAAATTTTCTTTCATCTTTTAAAATATTTTCAAGATAAAATATTATCTTTCCTGTGAAAATTCCTAACTTATAATAATCTAGAAGTCAGTGTTTCTCCATTTTTTCATGGGCACCTATAATAGAATAAATTGGAGGTCTTATTTTTAAAATGCAGACGTAGAACCATCCTCCCAATTATTCTTAGTCATTTTGGAATAAGACCTAGGTGGTGTTTATGCCCAGTAAAAACTAAGAACCTCTATGTTAGACTTTATGCTTCCTTCCAATGAATACCTGAAGAAGTAAAATACGCCAGTGTAATATAAGTAGATATCCTTGTTTGTTACTTTTCTGAGAATATTTCACTTTGTCTTATTAGGCTCTTGACTAGTTTTAATAGCTGCCAACCCACATACAAAAGAAACCCTGTAGGGAAAATATTTTGTGGGGAAAATTTGTAATTGTACTTTCCAAGTTTAACAATAATATTTGACAGGATAATTCTTATTAGGAGTAATATCCTGACAGCTTTTATCTTTTCTATTTTTAAATATGATACGTTTTCATTGATTTTTAGAGAATAAGGGAGGGAGGGAGGGAGGAGAGAGAGAGAGAGAGAGAAACATCCACCGGCTGCTTCCCGCACACCCTCCCACTGGAGATTGAGCCACAACCTGGAATCAAACTAGCAACCTTTCGGTGAATGGGACAGCACTCAACCACCTGAGCCACACCTTACCAGGGCTGACAGCTTTTAATACGAACATTTCCATAGTTTGTTTTAAACCTAGTATTTAATGCAAGAATGTTTTAAAAAAACTATTTAAGTCAGTCTTGAAGACAGAATTTTTATGCTTTGTCTATAGTTAGGAAAATCATGGCAATAAATGATCTGGTGACAATTATATCTTAAATTATTTTTTTTTCAGCTTTCATTAAAACTACATATCTGGTCTGACTAGTGCTAGACTCTTCCTAGTCTTTGATTTGTGGTCCTCTGCTTATATTCACAAGTTTTCTCTATTATCTGACTTCATAAGTTAAGTCCTCTTTAAAGTCTAATTGTACTTACAATATCTGAATATACTTTATTGGGAAATAATACATTGACTCAAGTTTGACGTTATGGGAGACAAGCAGGTCAAAAGAAACACATTTAAGGCAAATTAGTAAGGAAATTTAAGAATATTGGCTTAAGTGTTTAATGCAGAAGGATAAGCCTGAGTTTAAATCACAGATCCATCATTTAAAAGCTGTGGATACAGCTAAATAACTTCACAGGAAGTTTTTCCAGCAAAACCCAAATCTTCTAGATTGCTAAATGATGTTTGTGATTCTGACTTCTCAGAAATATTTAAAAGTAAAACTATTGAGGCTAAAAAAAAAAAAAACAAGATCTGGTCATAAAATATATTTGTAAAATAAGTCAAAAATTAAAAATTCCGTTTTCATTAAAAAATAGTAATTCTGATTCACATAATAAAAGTGGCAAAGCTTTTAATATTAAAGCATAAAAAGATTCAAGTTCATCTACATTTCACAAAATTATAAATCAAGTGTTAAGGGATCTTGGAGGTCATTTCACTCTGGTGACTTACTTATACCCCATCACTAATGTAAAATATGAAATATTTTGATACATTATTGAGAAATCATGTGGGAAGGAAGGCTCAGTTGATTTGGATTAATCATCGTGTATTGTTTCTATACCTAAACAAAACAAGGAAACAGGAACTAAATACCATAAGATGGGTATAGCTCAGCCAACTCATTATTTGAATTAAAGTAGGTATCATGCCATGAATGACAACTAGACAAAGCATAAAAGTTGATTTATTCTCAGTTATATTTATAAGAACATATCTGTGCAATTTACATTATATTAGAAAATAAAGCTATAAATATTTTAGAGGAGAAAATATGGGGAAATACCCTAAGTATAGTAACAGTTGATTTATCTGTAATCATTGATAATAACTAACTTGTATAAGTTAATTTTTTGGGTAACTGAGGCAAATCCATTTAATAAACTTTTTTAACAGTACAGTGCGAAATTTTCTACAATGTACTTTCTACTTCTCTTTTTCTAGAGTATTTAGTATATAATTTTAACTTTTTTTGTCATCTTTAAGAACATCAATTATGGAGTGGTAATCAGAAACTCGCCCTCAGGAGGCTCCTGAGACATAAAATGCCCCTTTCCTGCGTGGTCCTGTATTGCTATGCTTTTGCGTCATGTTTGTTTTTCACAGTTTCTCTGTTTTCCCGTATAATCAGCTGTCACTTTTTGCTCCTGTCTTCTGTGCCTGCATCCTGCACTAGCCCCTAATTTGCTGCTTCTAATCTGCTGTGGACTGGGAAACCAGATTGCCAAGCTTGCTAGAATTGTGTCTAAAATAAGAGTAAGTAGACTGAAAGAAGGCTAAGGGGCTTTTCTGTCAGTGGCGTGCATGGACTTTATGGAACCTGTTTGGCTGCTTAGCATACTTTTGTTTGCCTCTTAGTTCTTTACTAAACTGGCTAAAAACATTTGGTTGTATATGTGATTGCCATATATTTGAAGTATTAATTCAGTTTTTATATATTGATATTTCTAGGACTCTCCATTAATGAATTAAGCTCTGAAAGAAAATTTTACTAACATCCTCACATAAATTATTGTGTATATTTTAGGACAATGTTAAACATTTTGTTCTTAGTTGTTCTTAGTATAGTGTATAGAGTTAAAACATACAGCACTGTAAACGTGATTTCAACTCTGTTCATCAAGATTTATATTCTAGAACTATTGGTTTGAGACTAAACATGCATGGGTAATTTAGTAGAATTACCCGTGAACTGGGTTTCTGAATTTTGGGGGAATGAGTCATTCTTTATACCCCAGTTTTCTATAGAGCTTAAATTAAGCATTAAAATTGTTTGAAATAAGTGTTGAAGGGAGTCTTTAAAACTTAATATGCATTGCTATCTTCTTAAACAATACATGAAATGCATTTTATTTAATCTTTTTTTGATGTCAAAATGGTCATTATTAACAGTAGTTAATTATGCTGTGATAAACTAATTAGGCATTGAGAGCTATATACCCTTTACCAAATGGCTCCATTCTGCTGTGCTTTTTTCATTTTGTTGTCTTTGTTTTTTAATAGTTCTAATTTCTCCAGTTTATATTACTGCTTGCTTAAGTGTGCCTTTTTCCATCCTCATAGTTCCCCTTCTAGTCTGCTTGGTTTTGAAAACAAGGTGGCTAAGACTGCTAGAATAATGTAGGAAGTAAGAGTAAATTGACTCAGTAAAGACCCAAAAAACTGGATTATACTAAGTGCATGAATTTTGTAACATCTATTACTTTAGTACCTATTTCATTTCTATCCTGAAAATAAGTGAAGTTACAATCAGTACCTTTTCTCAAAGTAGAAGAGCTTTCATTGTACAAAAGGAACCATTTTGTTTTTCTACTTTACCTTCTCTGTATTTTTATCCTCTAACTTTTTTATTCCTATTAAAACCAGTCCATTCAAATGACCATTTTCTACAGTACTTTCTCTTTGATCTGGATATCATATGCTGCTAAGAATTTCTTTGGTGAGGTTGTTTTTTAATGTTGTTTTATTTTTATTTTTAGAGAAGTATATCTTCATTTCCAAAACATGAAGTAGGTTGAGCCCTGGAAAATAAGAAAACTTTTATTATTAATATCACAGAAGACAATATCTTTATTTTCATACAATTTATTGTATGTTAAAATCTTGCCAAAAGTTATCAGTGTTAGAATGATACTTACAGATATTTGAATGACTAAATTCCCACTGTCATTCTATATTTTGCATGTTTAAATTATTATTTAATGTGTTAAGTAATCAAGCATGATAATTTTTCTCTTGAATGAAAAATAAATATGAATGTGCATGTTATAATGTTTGTAAGTAAAATTCAAATCTGTCTAGAAGGGGGTATTCTAGCATCTAACAACTTAGTTTTACCAACAGGCCGGTTGTGTTTTAGTAATCATATGTTAAAATCAGTCTGCTCATTTTATGGCCGTGCCCCATAGTCAGCTTTCCATTATTCATGCTATTGGAAGGGAATTATGGCACAACAGTTATTAAAAAACAGATAATCTAAACAGTTTCTTGAGTTGAGACTGCTATTACAGAATAGGCAGTCAGATGCCAAACTTGGATTGGTGGTACAAGGAGAAAATTTCTCCTTAAGTATAGTTATGGGATAAAAGTGATTGTACTCATTGTAATTGCTTAAACCAAAAAAAAAAAAAAAAAAAAAGGATATGAATACAAGATCCACATATACAAAAACTTAACATGAATGAGTTGATTTTATGAATATCCTAAAATGTGTGATGATTTAAAGTGCAAATGGTATTTTTAATGCTATATTTTAACTGTCAGCAGTTAAATTTGTTTCTTTCATTTTCATTTACTGAATTCCATTTGGCACACACCAAACATGTTATTGCAATAGGATAGTGTTTAACTTGTGTGTACTTCTAATTGCACTTTAAAAGTGGGTATATTCTATGAAATATTATTGTAGAAATAGATATTTCCTCTCATGTTTGTATCTTAAGTTTTTCAAAATATATTACTATAAGTTTATTCTTTTATAATATCCTTTTCCTCCCAAGAAAGTTTTAAATGAACTCCATTTCTTAAAGAATTTTCTGCACTTATATTATACCAACCTGTAGTACCTTCTATTCATACTATGACTTAAGTAATGCTCACTCAGGCACAGGAGTAATATTCTGATTCACATAATAAAAGTGGTAAAGCTTTTAAAAATGGCAACATGCAGAAAGCTCCAGAACTGTTCCTTAAAAGGTTGGCATGTGGTCCTCAGACAGCCCTGAAGGTCCACATGAGTGAAAAGCCTAGACGTCTGAGCTGAAAGCACTCCCAAGGAGTTTGGTTTTGTTTGGGTTTGTTCTAGGTATGGTCCCAGGGATCCCAGATCAAACCAGGCCCCTGGGCCTATCCTAGAACCAACCTAAACTCGCGCATCATTCCTGGACCATCAAGAGTATGAAGACTGAAGATAACCTGAGGTTTCTGAGACATCCTACATCCATCAGGACTCACTTTTTTGTATGTGTGCCTACATTTTAGCAAGAATTGATTGGTTAATCCTTCTAAAATTAGAGGGATGGGAATGGATGACAAAATAAAGCATTACTAGACATTGACATAGTAATTTGTCACAATAGAAAAGTGATATGTAATATTGTTAATAATTGCCAATGAGGAGAACTGTACTTGTAGCTTTTATTATTGGATTGGATCTCTATTTTTAGATTAAGCAACTTAGCCACCAAAAGACATTCTCTCCCAAATTAATTATTTGTTTTTGTTTTTCTCAGAGTTTCTACTCAATATCAGTCTTATTTAACTAATTGTTCATAGTTTCTGAAAGGATTGGTCTTTGCCTCTGGCTCCAGTGCTAGTAATTTTAAACTCTTATTTTTGGAGACTGCCTTTTTCTTTTACTCTTTTGAATCTACCACATTGCTTTAAACTCGCTTTTTGAGGTTCAGATCTGGAAAGAAACTTAGCATCATTTGTAGACACACCATCCCTTGTGGGATGCATTGTAGGTTGCATTGCAGAATCTGCTGTTGTTGATGAAAACAAGCTAGGATGATAGAGTGGAAATAGGCTAATACCTCACATTTTACAAAGGTCTTTTGTCAAATAGTATGTTCCTTGATTTTTCATTCCCTGCTACTCTGGATTTTTAAAGTATTCTGACCTCGTTGACTCATTGCATGGTCTTACATCAAAACTGTGACATTGCTATAGCCACATACATGTTTTTGTTTAATTTGGAGGACAGGGTGTTGGAAAAGGATTGAAATGGCCCCAAATCCAAAGGGTTATGATACATATTGAAAATGTATACTTTGGGTAATACTGGCATTTCTATAGGTTTAGACCCTGTTTGAAATAACTGCTGACTAATCAAGGACTCCACATGTGAAAGGAGCTAAAAAATGTACTATTCGTCCAAGCCCAGTCACATCAGAAAAATTGGGTCAATGGTTATCCTTTAAAATAGGACTGACTCATTCTGAAGAACTCAACCCTACAATTAGTTCTGTACTACATTCATTACAGAGATGCTTCATCCCATGAATTCTATTATTTTTTGCCTGGTAAATTGTGTATGTATATATTTTTTTCACTCTTCTTTCTCATGTTTTCCTTTTTGCACAGTGTTTTCCTGTTTGCATAAATCAAAACACTATACATGTTACTATGTGTATATTTCTTTTGATAAAACAGACTGGATGGAATGATCTTTGGATTTTGATTCCTTTTAAATCCAAGTGATTTAAATTCACTTTTAATTTATACTTCAATTCTTCTCATTCATCTTTATCTAATGAACTATGTAGAATTACATAGGTGAGCCTTATATATGGATTCTTGTAGAATTTATAACTTTTTGTATTCACCTAAATATGAAAATGTTGTAACATCAGTAATCTTGTATCAATGCACTGATCTGTGAGTATATTTAACTTTATTTCTTAACATAGTCAGAAGTGTGTGAACCCATCTTATGTGTATGTACAATGTGTTCTCAGTGTGTGGGGGCCTTTGCACTCTCTCTTTTAACATTGTTAAATATGAACCCTGGAAATGGGAAATTTATGAACCGTCTTACAGAGTTCAGGCTTGTTCACCTAGTAAGTTTCTAAAGTCGCCCTTCACTTCATATACTTTGGGAATGTTAGGTATTTTCTTTTAATATAATTTGAGAATATTCTTTCAGAGATATTTTAATTTTTACTTTTTGACTACTTATGTTTTCTATAGAACTACTTTACTCACCCTTCCTGAAAACTTGAGATTATAATTTTTAACACAATACTTTCTTTGGTAGATTTATGCATTTTATTCTATTTCATTTTTGTCAGCTCTTTTAAAATACTTTATAAGAACCCAATAGTAGGTTTGTATATGTCTGTATTATTTTTGTTCCTCCTAAGCTTAAGAAGACCCTAATAAAATCTGTACTTCTTTGTATCTTTTTTTGTGTGTACCATTTTTATTCTGGTGTTTGCAACATGAATTAGCCAAAGGTGAAATTCTTTGTCTCTTTCTTCTGTCCCTATTTTTCTTCTATTACTGTTTTTCAGAATTTGTTAATATACCCATAGAAGACAGCAGTTGTCTAAGGAAGCCCTAGATTCATTAGTCTAAGTTTTGTTTGGTCATTTACACGCTTCACATGATAATTTATCAGAGTGAAAGCAGCCAATTAAGTTTAAAAGCAACATTGTCACCCTTTAGAGCAGTGGTTCTCAACCTTCCTAATGCCGTGACCCTTTAATACATTTCCTCATGTTGTGGTGACCCCCAACCATAAAATTATTTTTGTTGCTACTTCATAACTGTAATTTTGCTACTGTTATGAATCGTAATGTAAATATCTGATATGCAGGATGTATTTTCATTGTTACAAATTGAACATAATTAAAGCATAGTGATTAATCACAAAAACAATATGTAATTATATATGTGTTTTCCGATGGTCTTAGGCGACCCCTATGAAAGGGTCGTTCGACCCCCAAAGGGGTCATGACCCACAGGTTGAGAACCGCTGCTTTAGAGTGACTGTCAGCCATTGGGTACATTCTCATTGTGGGGACCCCACCCATGCACCAGGCCTCTAGTTGTGTTATATTAACTTAGATGACCTCCCTGACAGAAAAGACATACAGAATGAAGAAGAAAGTTAACATCCATAAAGTCATACTCTGTGCTATGTAATTGAAGGAATTATTGATTTGACTCCTAAGCTTAGCTTAACAGTCTTGGGAACATTTGCTGGTTAATAAGAAAGTGGTCTTTCTTGAACTGAACTTTTAAATAAATAAGCTACCTCTTTCCAGAAAAGATTTGAGGCAAGGGATAAATACTTATAAAGGCAAAAGTAAGTTTGAGGTAAAGAAAAATCACTCATAAAGGCAAAAGTAAATCCCAATTAGCCCTTGTCTGGGATTTACTAATTAAAAGTGTAAGATAAGGTAGAACATGCGTAGTTACTCTACCCGATTCTGAAGTCACTGGGTAGGAAATATCCCATATGATAATCACCCCTTGTCTTCACAATTTGCTTCTGAAGGTCGTTAGCAGATGTGCTGTAACCATTGAAAATAAAGTTGGCAAATAGTAATTTTCCTTGGATGTACATCTATAAAAATTTAAAGAACATTTTTAGAATCTCATCATATTAAAATTAGTCCTATTTATTTAAAGGTGTTTTTCTATGCATTTATTTTCCTAAGTCACCATATAGGACACATTCACACATACAGAACACACACAAATCCTAATTATCACTTCAAACAGCATAATCTTCTCAGTCTGCATTTAGTTTCATTATCGGACTCCCATAAAAATTCAATTAAATGGGCAGTTAATTCCTCTGTGCATCGTTTATTCACATATTAAAACTTCATTTCATTTCTTGAGACATTCTCCCCCATGCCACTGTGCCCAATGTTTAGATTCCCTATTACTCATGAAGTTGGTGTGAGAATCTTTTTACAAAAGCACTTGGTAAACTGAAAAGATACTCTTTTCTAGATATTCTTTTCTTTTCTGTCGACTGTATCTGGTTGACTGTGATAAGAGATTAAATATTTAAACCACATCAGTTATACCATTGTTCCAGGAATTAAACTAAGTGGAATTGAAAGACTTTCCCAAACAACTCAAACCAAGCAAACAGAACCTGATAGCCTCTTGGTGACCAAATATTGACCTAATGACGAAATAAAAGCAAAGGGATTCTAACTACCCTCTAAAGCACTTACCACTTAACCTTAATGAAATGTCCCAAAATGCATCTGGACAAAAACTCAGTTGAGATTAGAAAGGGGGTATGTTGAGACCAAAATTCTCTCTCCTAGCAATCCTAAAGTCTCATTTACGGTAAAACAAAGAGAAGACCATTTTCTACCCTACCTACCGAGGCATATATTCCAATGCTGCCAACAGGAACTTTATTTTCCCCATTTTGAACTATGAGTCAAGAAACCCAGGTTAAAAAAAAAAAAGCCCAGGTTCAAATCTCAGCTCCTCCCTGTAGTTGTGGGATCTCCTTGAAGCCTGTTTCCTTTTATGTGGAAACAGCAACTTCACCTTAGAGGACTGTCACCAGGACCCAAGGAATTAGTTATGTGAAAAGGTATGAATCTCAGAAGATATTCTTTTCCTTTTGGGTCTCCAATATTTATCTTTTGGGGGAATTCCTGCCTTGTAGAAAAGCTTGGGGCCCTGTCAAAGGCTGGGACAAAGACTTGATTGATAAGTGAAATAGACAAAGCAAAGTAAGAGAGGTTTGGCATTCCTGTTGGAAAGAAAGGTGAGGGTTTAGTCAAAACGGTGCATGGTATGGCAAAAGTAGGTTTACAATGGTAAGTGCTCAAAATAGCTTATTCTTGTATTATTTATTCATTAAGGTATTTTACATATGAACAACTGTAAACCTAATTTTGCCACACCCTGTATTTATTGGCAGTCTACTATTTTTCTAGGCACTGGGATGCAGGGACTCTGCCCATTTGTTCATTTCTGCATCCCAGTGCAGTAGATGGATACGAGGCTAAGTAGTGATGAGTGCTATGCACCAAGTAAAGCAGGATAAGAAATGGAGTGCGAAACAGGCTCTTTTAGATAGAACAGGCCACTGAGGGGGTGACCTTTGCCTAGAGACCTGGTTATGTGAGAGAATAAACCATCCACCTGTCTAGTGAACAACCAGCAAAGTGAGCACCGTGTGTAAAGGCTCTGAGGGGGAACAACAAAGAGGCTAGAGCTGTGGAAGCCAATGGGCAAGTGGAGGCCAAGTAAGCCAGGGGCCAGATTACATGAAGTTTTGTGGTCCATAGAAAGGATCCCAGATTGGCTTTTTTCTGTTTAAATATAGTTTTATTGATTTCAGAGAGGAAGGGAGAGGGAGAGAGAAACATCAATGATGAGAGGGAATCATTGATTGGCTGCCTCCTGCATGGGCTGCCTCCTGCACATCCTCCTACTGTGGGCATGTGCCCTGACTGGAAATCGAACCGTGACCTCCTGGTTCATGGATCCATGCTCAATCACTGAGCCACGCCAGCCAGGTTTGATCCCCGGTGTGGGGCATGCAGGAGGCAGCTGATTAATGATCCTCTCTCATCATTGATGTTTCTATCTCTCCCTCTTCCTTTCTCTCTGAAATCAATTATATCCTGTGGTCGTGAGGCCCTCATGCCATAACGACCAATCATCAGGAGGCTGCATGCACAGCAGGCGCATGCGGGTGGGCAGGGACTTTACACTGCGTCCCGCGAGCACCGGCAGAGATTTGACCAGGAGATGCATCAGGGGAGTCCCGTGGCGCCGGCGGGGGCTTGACGCTGCGTCCCCACCGGTGCCAGTGGGTCAGGGTCTCACACGATTTCAAGGCGCATGTGGGTGCGCAGGGACTTGACTCTGGGTCTCTCGGCGCCGGCAGGACTTGGCACCGGCCCAGACTCTAAGAGGAGGGAGGAGGGAGCCAGATACCCGCACCCAGGACTTGGCAAATAGTGATATCAAAATATTTCTTCTAATTAATTCCCTTTCAATATGCACGAATTAGTGCACCAGGCCACTAGTGTGTGTGTGTGTGTGTGTGTGTGTGTGTGTGTGTATATATCCTTTTTTTTAAATTGATACTTAGGGTTGACTTAGATCTACTGAATGAGGATCTCCAGGGGATGAGGCTTGTCGTTCCTAAAGAGCTCCACAGGTGGACAACAGGTTTAAGGATTACTGATTTAGGAAAAGGTAAAGTGAAGAGAGAGGGAAAGGCTGTGGCTCAGGTATACCAAAAACAATAGACCAGGGGCCCATTAAACCATTTCTATACACACACACACACACACACACACACACACACACACACCATCGCACCACCACTTTACCACTACCTTCACTAGTCAAAGTCCTAAACCAGTAATGGCGAACCTATGACACACGTGTCAGAGGTGACACACGAACTCATTTTTTTGGTTGATTTTTCTTTGTTAAATGGCATTTAAATATATAAAATAAATATCAAAAATATAAATCTTTGTTTTACTATGGTTGCAAATATCAAAAAATTTCTATATGTGACACGGCACCAGAGTTAAGTTAGGGTTTTTCAAAATGCTGACACGCCGAGCTCAAAAGGTTCACCATCACTGTCCTAAACACTGAGCTCCATACCCACGTGTGAATAGCTTGTGCAATATTTGTTGATTTACCAATAGTTTTTGTATATACATTCTCATTTGAACAAACATTTTCATTTAAAGACACATTCTCACAACAAACAGATAAATTAAATTAAATCTGGCCATTAAATTCAGATCTGGTTAATATGCTAACTCAATCCTCACAACATCCCAACAGTGGTGTTTTTCTCCCCAGTTTACAGATGAGGAGATTGAGGCCAGCCACAAGAGGAGGATCTGGATGCAAACTCAAGTTTCTGACCCCAAAGTTTATGCTCTCTTTTCATAAAAAAAACAAAAAACAAAAAAAAAAACACTGTTCTTTATGCTTCTTCATTTTTTTAAAAAAATGGCTACTAAACTAGGTTAGCGTTTAAAGCACAGAACCACTCCAATTTTCCCAGAAAGGATAAGAATCATCAATCTCAGCCAGATTTTCATACTTCCTTGGTAGGTACTGGTTTTGCTCCCAGAGTCTTTCATAAGACTTTCTTAGGGATGCAGGCAGAAGCAATGGAAGGCTCCTGTTCAAATATGCCTCTAAAATCAGAACCTGGAAATGGGACAATAAGGTGATTGGTTGCCCCCACCTCCAATCGCCTCCAATCACCTCCAATCACCAGTAGGCACTTGGGTCTATAGGTCCAAGGCTCAGGTGAGAAGTCTGGACTGATGTTGGAGATATGGGTGTCACCAGCATACAGGGATAGTTCCCGGATCTGTGGGAAAGAATGAATGTGTGGAGAGGTACACTGAGGAATGCCAACATTCCGGGGTGGGGTGGGAAGGCTCAACTGGAAACATTCTCTTAAATATCTTGACCCCTTCATAATCCAGATCAAAATAATTAATGTTCCTGTTTACATTTCATTCTTTCTCTTTCTGGTTTTTAGTGAGGAGAAAAACTTATAAGTCCTATGTTCTTTAATTCAACACTGCCTACAAATTATTACTGAAGCAAGCCACAGAGGGGATTGGGACTGGGAGAGACCCATTAAAAGCATCTGTACTTCCTGCTTATAAGCAAAGGCCCAGATGATACGCTGTTTATAGCACTAGATCTATGGAATATTAAGAGCAATACTGAAAAAGGGTTCGGCAGCTAAATTACAGGGAATGTGAACAAAATTAATTTAAACAAAATTAAACAGATCTCTTCTAAGAAAAAAGATTATGAATATTTACATATAAGCTACCATAAAGTTTATACTTATTCCATGGCTTCTTATGATGAAGTTGAGTTTCTCAGGCTATTTGCTACAAAGAGCAAAGAGCTTTCTGGTGATACACAAAGTTTTTTTTGTAAAGGTTCCAAGGAATGTTGACTTGTATTCTTGAGATCATAAATATTTATAATTAGAAATTGCATTTGTTAAAATGTTTATTTACTTAAAAATATAAACTATATTTGTATAAGAGATTTTTACCCACCAAATTTGAGATAGCTTCACCAACTTTATTCTGTAGTTTCTCTAGCCTCTAATTGGTGCCTAGATTTTTATTTTTTAATCAGAAAGCACCTAGACCTTTTGTCTAGACATCTTCACATCTTATAGGCTTGTTTTTTGTTGTCTTTTTTTTTTAATCCTTACCGGAGGATATGTAGAAAGAGAGGAAGGGGGAGAGAGAAACATTGATGTGAGAGAGAAACATTGATCGGTTGCCTTCTGTATAGACCATGACTGGGGCTCGAACCCACAACCTAGGTATATGCCATGACTAGGAATCCAACCCACAGTCTTTAAGCTTACAGGATAATGCTCCAGCCAACTGAGCCACACCGGCCAGGGCACAGGCTTGTATTTTAATAAGCCTGGCAGCTCTAACATTCGTTTTTGAGAAGTGTAGTAAATGTCAGTTTTTCTCCTACCACTTGTCCAAAGATGTATCTTTTCCATAAGTGCTGGACCATTGGGGTGGGACCCCAGTAGAAATCCTGAATGACTTC